CGCCGATCTAAGAAAGCCGCGCGGACCTCAGATAGATTGTGGTCATGCCCCTCCCCTGTTGCTCACCACCCACCAAACCACCCCAACCCAACCCGAAGGGTCAAATTTACCCTCGATTTCTAGTGGGGGGGGGGTCCGGGAACATCGAAAAAACACATATGGAGCCCATACCCCCCCCAACCCGAAATTCGGGTCTTCGGGTTGGGTTGGGGTGGTCTGGTAGGTAGTCAGTTGCTCCTCTACCCCGTCGCTCGCCTCGCCACGGCCTACCCGGACCCCTCCGAGCGGCGTTCATTGTTTCCCCGGGCCTCCGTGGCTGCGCTCTCCGCGGCTCGACCGTGGCGCGGCCCCCCCTCCAGAGAGGCAGGAAGGCTCTGGGCGGCCCCTGCGACGTGCGATATCGCAGCGGCAAGCGCCCACCGGGCCAGACGTCGGGAACCCGTGCACGGAAGAGAGGCACCTCGTGAGTCTCGGACAGGCGCGTCCACGCACGATTCGGGCGAGCGCGGAGTGAGGCGTGGGAGATTGCTTGGTCGATGAAGCCGGGCGTGGAGAGCGTGAGGAGCGCTTGTTTTCTCACCTGCCCACCCCACGCCTAGCGGCAGGGGAAGGGAGAAACCTTGAGACCGACTTCGTTGGGCGCCTGTGCCCTGGCCCTGGACCACACATGCGAGGACCTGGAGGTCCTACCCGACTCTGAGGCGGAGCGACGGGGAGTGCTGGCCCAGGCTTCCAAACGCTGTTTCCGTTCTGGTGTTCTTTCGATCAGATGCACGCGCTCCCCCTCTTCCTTGGTCCTGCTCATTGTGCTCATCCTTGCCGTCCTCCCTCCGCAGCTGTCCTGGCTCAAGAAGAGGTTGCTACCAGATCATCAAGACCCCGTCTTTGTCACTGAGCAGCCTTCCCCAGGCCTGCGCCTTGCTCAGCGCTCATATGTCTGACCTGGCCATGGACCTCGTGGCGGCCGCGCCCGCTGGCCCTACGCTGCTGGGAAACCGCCAGTCCCACGCGACGGAGACCTCCAAGGGCAGGGCGCCCACGGCGGTTGAGCCCGCGGGCTGCTACGCCGTCGAGTGGGCCCGGGCAGCCAAGCGGTTCGCCGATCTGAACGCCCTGGTCTTCGACGGCGTTGGTGTCGAGTACCGTTTCACATTCGAGGAGCTGGAGACGAACGCGAACCGTCTGGCATGTAGCCTGGCCCGCATGGGCATCGGCATGGGAGACCGGGTGGTCACCATTTCGGAGAACCGCCCCGAGATGGTGGTGTTGCTCCTGAGCTGCCTCAAGCTGGGAATTACGTTCGTGCCGCTGGCCACAGACCTGCGCCCCCAGGACTGCAAGAACATGGTGGCGCGCTACGAGCCGTCGCTCGTCATCTCCGACCAGCCACAGTTCGCGGCCATCGAACAAACGGGCGGGGGCGAGTACCGGACACTCCTGCTACCGCCGTTCGAGGCACTGGGGAACCAGCTGAAGGAAATGATGGCGGAGGGCAGCGGTGAGCCGATGCCCGCGCCAGTCGTGCCCGCCAGTGTGCCCGCCATTATCTTCAGCACATCGGGCTCCACGGCACTCCCAAAAGGAGTCATGTACTCCCATGCCGACCTGGCCGGCCTAGCTGCCTGGGGCGAGGCCATCTTGGAGGCAAAGCAGGCGCGCACGAATCACCTCATGTGGGTGTCGATGCGGGGCATCGCCGCCACAGTGATGTTGCTGAAGCACCTGCTGCAGGGGGCCCTCACTGTCATGGTGGACTCGTACTCCAGCGGGCCCTGCCTCTGGAGCGAGTTGATCGACAAGCATGCCATCAACTCGCACATCTTGTTTGGGGCGGCGATGAACCAGACACTGCAGGAGCTCCCGAAACGCACGTTCGAGTCCGTCCGAACCATCACCTACGGGGGCTCGTGTTTCGCCCCAACGCTCATCCAGCGCAGCATGGACCAGTTTCCAAACGCGAGCTTTGTTCAGATTTATGGGATGACCGAGGTGCACCCCATAAGCATGCTGGGCCCTGAGTTTCACAGACGTGCGCACGACGCAACTGTGCTCGACGTGCTGCGGATGACCAGCGCGGGCAGGATTGTGATCCCAGGCAGCGTCTTCATCGAGGACCTCGAGCGGCCAGGATCGGGCTTGGCACCCGCCGTGGAGAAGAATGGCGTTGGCCAGGTATGCGCCTGGTCCGCCGTGACGATGATGGGGTACTACGCGAATCCGGAGAAGACGACAGAGGTCATGCCCGACGGCAAGTTCGTCCGGACGGGCGACATCGGGAGGATCGACGAGGACGGCTTCCTCTACATCGTCGGCCGCACGAAGGACATCATTCCGGCATACAAGGGCTTCAACGTGGCGCCCCGCGACCTGGAGGAGGTGCTCTACTCGCACCCGAGCGTCGGGCAGGCGTCCGTGGTCGGCGTGTGGCACCCGTCGGGCGCGGGCGAGGCGGTGGTGGCGTGGGCGCGGGCGAAGGCCGGGGCCCGGCTGAGCGCGGGCGAGCTGCGCGGGCACTTCCGCGAGTCGGGCCTTGCCTCCTGGCAGATGCCCGACGCCATCCACGTGTCCCGCGAGGCTCGGTGATCCTCAGGACACGTGTTAGCCCTGTGTGTGTGTGTGTGCTTACTCCGTTCAGCTCTGCCGATACCGCACTGGCTGCTTCGGCCATCACTACACCGCCTGCGTCGTATGGAAGGGTTCCGGTGGACCAGCGCACGTTAACGCTAGCACACGTCCTGCGGATCATCGAGAGGCGCTCCCCACCACCGGCGGCAAGATCGACGCCAAGGCTCTGCGCGCGGACGCCTTCCGGCGCACGCAGCTCGCCGCCGAGCTGGCCGCGGCGGGCGCGCGCGCGGCGTCCGGCGCCTCGGCTGGGCGCGGGGACGCCAGCGAGCGCGAGGCCCTGGCCGCGGAGCTCTGCGAGGCCCGCTCCGGGCGGCTCTGCCGGGACAAGCTGTCTTGTGCCTTCGGGGAGGCGGCGCCGGCACTGGCGGCGGGCGGGCGCGAGGCGCTGCTGGCGGCGCTCCGGGCCATGCCTGGAGAGGAGTACGAGAGTTTCCAGCTGCACGCGCGGGCGTTGCTCGGGAGCTGGGCCGCGGGCAAGGTGGTGCTGGGCTGACACCGTGCCCAGCTCGGAGCGCGCTGCGGCCCAAGGCCGCAGGGAGGGCGGGGGCTCGGCGCGAGAATTTGGAGCATCCGCGAGGCGGAGCCCTTGAGCGGCGCAGACGTCGCCGTTCTTCCCTTACAGCGGGCCCTGCACGCCGCGCTTCCTCTCCGCCCGCGGCCCCTCGCGGCCACCCGCGCGAGGGGGCCGCGTCGGGCCGGGTGGCGCCGAGCGCCCGGCCAGACGCGCCGGGCCATTTGGATCGTCCTCGGCGGGGTCCTCCCGACCCCGACTGGGGCAGGGCGAGTTAGATCCCCACCCTTGCCCTGCCTCCTGCGCCCTCGCCCCGCCATCGCCCCCATCCTCATCCCTCCTCTTCCGTTGCCCCCCTCGTGTTCCTCCTCCCCCGCCTCATCGTCCTCACCCTGTCCCTCCTCCTCTTCCTACGTTTAAGTCGGGCCGATCCCTCTACAGGGGGAATATCCAAAAATAGTCCAAAAATAGTCTGGGGACTATTTTTCTGGTATTTTTTGACCATTCTGGAATATTGTTTGAGTGTTTGTTATTTTTCGTCCAAGATCCCCCTGTAGGGGGACACGCCCGACGTAAGGCTGGCGCGGCAGGGCCGGCGGCCGGGGCTCACAGAAGGGCCCCCCACCCTGCCACGCCCGCGAGGCCCTGGCCAGGGAGCAGCAGCGCCCCCAGAGCGAGCGGCCAGCTGAAGACGTTGGCGCTGGCGCAGGAGGGGGTCGGGCCGAACGAAAGGGGGAAATAAGAAACGGGGGGTTACGAAATCTGCTGCATGCAGCTGGTTTCGGCCCCGCCGCCGGGCCCATTCCTCGATACATGGACGCCTCCCGGCGCCAGGAGGCGCTGGGAAAATCAGCTCCGTGAGCTGATTCTAAAACCCCCCCCTTTGCTATCCCCCCCTTTCGCCTGGCCCGAGGGGGGGCGAAGGATCAGGTGAAAGACCATAGTCTTAGAGCCCACCTGGAACGGCGACAAATGCCAGTTCTGCGTTCTCGCGTTGGGGGTCCTCGCAATCAATCAGCTCTCGCGCACCCCAGGAGGCTTCAGAACTGCCCCGAGATGCTCGGGCGGACGAAAGTGGGGGATTTCGAAAGGGGAGGGGGTGCGAAGACTGCTGCGTGCAGCTGGTTTCGGCCCCGCCGCCATGCGTTTTCCTGGATGCATCAGCGCCTCTGGCGCCAGAAGGCGCTTGAGAAACCAGCTGCATGCGTGAGGTGATCCGTTCCCCAGCGAGGATGAGGAGTTAGAGGGGGGGAGGGATGGAGGGAATGAGAAGGGCAACGATGATGAGGAGGAGAGGGATGGGGAGGATAACCCCCAGGCCTGTCTCAGAGCCTCCCTCAACCCATCCACTTCCATCCTCCTTCCCCTGAGGATGATGAAGAGAAGAACACGAGGACCCCCAGAGATACCCTGATAAATTCCCAATGCGAACTGTAACGCCATCAACCTCCAATAGTCCCCTCCGCTGCCTCTTCGCATGTCCTCGTCCTCCTCCTAAGGAAGAGGAGGGGATAGGAGAAGGAGGAAGAGGATAAGGTGCGGGTGGAACCTAATGGATGGGACCGAAACCTATCGGTGCATGCCTGTGGAGGGAACGCTGGAGGTGATCTCTCGGTTGTGACCTTATGAGTGGGACCCCATGTTGTTGGAGCTCATTGGTGGAGCCTTATGACTTGCACTTACTTGGCGTGACCCTGTGGGACCGAGGTCGACCACCGCCTGAGAACATCTGCCAAACGAGTACCGTCCCTTTTGACGCAACTATGAAACATTGTGCGGTCATGGTTCGGGAAAGTTGCAATGGTGTATTATTGTCTGTCCGTTCGGTAAGGCGGAAGCGGCCAATGGTCGGTGCATGTGTGTGCGTGTGTAGGGTAGTACGGCTGGTCAAGGGCATCTCGGCCCGAGCTTTTCTGCAGGACTTTGGCCAGCAAGCTGCTTTGAATGTGTCGGCGAGAACGTTCTCGTAGCTGCTCATCCTGAGAAAGCTTCCCGCCGAGGTTCCACTGATTCGTCTTCGCGGGATCTGTACGCACAGGAGGCCGCTAAGTGCTTGGCCATGACCGTTACAGACGCTTCGATAGATCGGAGGACTGATCAGGCTGCTTCAGAGGCGAGAGAGATTGCGGTTTTGCCGAGCACCCCGCTAGCGCCAGAGCATCATCTTCCGCTTTCCGAGCCACCATGTGCCAGTCATGCTCCAGCCACGGTCACAACCGGGTTCTTGTTCCGGACGCGTCGACATATTGATTATTTGGTGTTGATGTTTAGCATATGTGTTTGTTGGATCGGAGTGAGTGTGATCCAGCCATACTTGGCTCCATGGGCGGAATCGCATGGCGTGTCGGATGTGCAAGTGGGGAGTATCTTCGCGGCGCAGCCTTTCGCTGTGGTGCTGGTGCAGCCGGTCTCAATGTTGCTGGTGCGCAGTGGTCACGAGCGCTTACTCGTTGCGGGCCTCACTGTGTCCTCGGGAGCCCTCGCCCTATTCGCAGTCACACCGCTGCTGGCGCACGAAGCGAAAGTCGGCAGTGATGACGAGGGCCGCTCTGTGTTTCTCTTCGGCCTGCTCTGTGCCGCCGGCCTCGTCGCGGGCGTCGGGGAGGGCCTGGTGGAGACCAGCGTGTACACCTTGCTGCAGGCGCGTTTCCCAGATGTGTTGGGACAGGTCACTTCGGATGCAACTCCTGGGAGGTAAAATTCTGATTTTGCCCTGGTCCGAAGTCCGGCTTAATCCAGCTTAATCCCGCTTTATCCGGCTTAAGCCCGCTTCCCACTCCGGCGTAACAGCCCCCAAATGGGGCTTGCTCCTCTTTAATCTTTCCGACGACAACCTCCCAGTAGTTGCTTCCTAAGGTCACAGGGCATGCTGAGGCGTGGGTCGGTGCTGGTACCATCGTGGGGCCCGTGCTGGGCGGAGCGCTCTACAGTGCGGTGGGATTTGCCGCACCGCCCGCGCTGGTCAGCGTCTTGCTGCTAGCTCTGGCGGGCTGCTGTGTTATCTGGGCCCGTAGGGGGCGCTTGTCCGGCGACGCCAACGTCATGACGACCCCCAGACCCAGACGCCACCTCAGCGGGGCGACGCCAAATGCACGACGCAGCCGAATCGCCTCGGAGGAAGAGAGGTTTGCGCGCGTGGGTGTAGAGTCTTGCGCCGCGCCCGTGGGCGAGAGCGGTCGTGACTCGCGGAACGCGGAGGGCCCTGGAGGCAACCAGGAAGAGGGTGGCGAAGAGCGCCACCTACGAGACGGCTGGGTCTTCAGCGTGGCAGCCGGCGGAGTGATCTTAGCAGGTGCCATTGGGGGCGCCATTGCGCCTCTGATATCGATTCTCTACGAGAATGATTTTGGCTGGTCGAGCCAGGCTGTGGGCATGATCTTTGGCGGGTATGGGGTGGTCTACGTGGCCAGCTCGGTGGTGGCTGGAAGTCTAATCGACAGGGGCCCACGGACACTCCGCGCGGTGTTCGTCTTCGGTGCGCTGGCCTCCGCTCTGGCGATCTGCGCGGCAGGCTGGTCCGGCGTTTGGCAGCCGGCGTCAGTGAGCGGCTTGCTGTTCCTCGGCGTCGCAGACGGCTGCTTGCTGGTTCCAGGCTTCAGCCTGCTCGCCCAGAGCGCCCCCTCCAACCGGGAGGACTTGCCCGCCGCCGTTCTGAACGGCTGCTTCGGCTTCGGGAGTGGCCTCGGGCCCCTCCTCACCGTGTCCGCGGCTGGCAAGTATGGCACCAGCCCCGTGATGATGGTGCTCGCTTGCTGCAGCACTGCGTTTGGACTTGTGGCCGCTGTAGTCCTGGTTTTGCGTCCCTGTCCCCTTAGCCAGGGCAGCGCAGGACGATGATGGAGAAGGAGGGCGGTGGAAGCGGTTGCATCCATTCGTTCGGAATCTCCCCAAAAGTTTGCTCGGTTTCATGATTCACACGTGAACCTTGATTCAATGTGCTCGCTTGTTCCAATGCTGCCCCCGCCCAACCCAAATACGTTACATAACAAAACGTCCTGACACGCTTGCGTGGCATTCTGTGTACGGACACAGACTCCGCATCTCCACACTGAATGTTTGACTCTTGAATTCACCCATCTGCGGCAATTTCTCTGTGAGTTATCGTTTTCCCGCCCGCCCGCTATGAAACAGTTGGTCCAAAAATCTCGCGTACTGATGCAATTCCTGACGAGTCTGGTGATTCCGGCGGTCCCGTCCCGAATCTCGACATAAGAAGGCCACAGCGGGCAGGAAGGAGGGGGGGAGAGCCAAAGGGCGCAAGATAGCTCAAATATCACCCGTCGGTTGAAAGTGCGTCAGTTTGCGCGCTGGCGCGATGGCTTGCCCAGCAGCAGCCGCATGGCTCCCTGTGAAGAACATGGTTTTCGCGCGCCCATCACCTGCCCTTCCTCTGCCCTCCCTCTTCGCCCCGCCCTGTCTCTCCGCTTTCCCCCTCTCCCCCTGTTAATTATCCGTCCTCCTCATCTCCTGTTTGTTAGTTGCTCTATTCTCGCGCAGGTCGAACAAGCGGCCAATGTACGATGTATTGCAACATGGCTGCGTATAGTCATTCGCGCATCTCTTCCCGTGTATACTTAAATCATGCGCCTGCGGTATACATCGCCACACATGTGTATGTTGCCCAACCATCATGTGGTGTTGTTTCTTCGTTTTCAAGAGAAGGTTCCCGAGTTAATCCTCTCATCTCCTCTCCTCCTGCTCCTCCTCCTCCTTGTCCTCCTGAGGTGACGTTCGCTCCTCCTTATCCTCCTCCTCCTCCTCCTCCTCCTCATCATCATCATCAGTATCATCATCATGATCATCATCATCATCATCATCAGCAGCAGCATCATCATCATCATCTTCATCATCCCATCACCCCCCTCACTTTGGCACACCCATCACGTGTTGCGTGGCCCCATAGGAAGCTCCACCCACCGAAGGCTCCAGTGGCGGCGTTCGCATGCCTTCTCCCCACCCAGTACAGCGCTTCGTGGCACCATAGGGAGCTTCACTGGCGGCCCAAATGCCAGCGTTCGCATGCGGCCACAGTGCTCATATTTTGACACCTACACGCTTCGTGGCCCCATAGGGAGCTCCACCAAAGGCCCAGATGCCAGCGCTCGCATGCGGCCACCACGCCCATGTTGGCACACACACACACACACACCACGCGTTTCGTGGCCCCATAATGTTCCCCACCGAACGCGCACTTGCCAGCGCTCGCATGCGCGCACTGCATCCACTGTTGGCACACCCCTCACACGTTTCGTGGCCCCAAAGGAGCCCCACCGACGGCTCAAATGCCAGCGCTCGCATGCGCCCACCGCACCCATTTCGGCATACCCGTTACACGCCTCGTGGCCCAATAGGGAGCCGCACCGAAGGCCCAAATGCCAGCGTTTGCATGCGCGCACCGCACCCACCCCACACACAATTCGTGATTCCATAGGGAGCCCCACCGAAGGCCCAAACGCAAGCGCTCGCGCCCACCCAACCCATTGTGGCACACGCCTCACACGCTTCGTGGCCTCATAGAGAGCTCCACCGAAGGCCCAGATGCCAGCGCTCGCATGCGACCACCGCACCCATTTGGCACACCCCTCACACGTTCCGTGGCCCTATAAAGAGTCCCACCGAAGGCCCACATGCCAGCGCTCGCATGCGCCCTCCGCGCCCACTGTGGCACACCTCTCACCCGCTTCGTGGCCCCAAGGGGAGCTCCACCGACGGCCTATATGTCAGCGCTCGCATGCGCTCACCGCACCCATGTTGGCACACCCTCACACGTTTCGTGGCCCCATAGGGAGCCACACCGAATGCGGTGCAAACAACGACGGTGCCCACGATGCACCTTGACCAACGTCTGGCTGTTCACATGCATTGCATGTGATAGTTTTTCTCTCACTCTCTCTCCCTCTCCCCCCCTCCCTCTCTCACTCTCTGGATTTCTCTCTCTCTCTCTCTCGCTCTCTCTCCCTCTCTCTGTTGTACTTACCATATACGTGTGGTTTCAATTAGTTGTTGCATGCTTGCCAGCGCGGGCACCAAATGGTGCACCATGCATGCTGGATGCGGGACATGTGTGGTGCAAGCTACGTGGCACAAGCAATGTTGTGCAAAGCCTGTGGTGCAACCTCTGTGGTGCGAGCTGTGCAGTCTGCGTGGTGCAATTCCCTTCGACCGCCGTGAACTCTTCAACTCCACCGCATGTCCACCCACCCACCCCACCCGCATCTTGTTTGGCAGAACCCACTTGGCTACGATTGTGGTTCCCGCTTGGAGCGTGCACGCGCGTCTCTTTGCCTGGGCTGGCGCGCGCGCGCGCGTTCGCGCGCAGAGCGACCAGCTTTTTTTGTCCTCGCACAACATCGCTGCCAAATGAAGTTAATACATCCTCTGGTTTGTCTCCGTCGCCAGAGGAGAAGCTGGAAGCGCAGAGCCACCGGCTAATTTGGCACAGCTGATGCGGCTCCGATTGCGCTTGCCGATGGGAACTTCCCAGTGCGCCTCGAAGGCCGAGCTTGCATGCGGGCACTTCGGTGCGGGTCGGAGACCCGGGCGGGCGCGATATGTTGATGACGTTCACAACGGCGGCAAGGTTTGTGATAATAGCGATGGTGGTGGTGATGGCGACGATAGCGATGGCAAGGCCAATGTCGGTGTCGATGTTGGTGCCGACGATGACGATGATAATGTCAATTTGTAGGTAACGAAGGCGATTGTTATGATGATGGCGGCAATCGCGGCGCTTGGCGATGACGATGACGGCGGTGATGCGATGGCGCTGGTTGGGATGATGAGGGTTTTTTGAAGGTGCGTGCAGAGATCCAAATCTGGCAGACCTTCTCTGTTGAAGCAAATGTTGGTTTGTTGAGTGTAACTACACATGTTTATAGATATGACGAGTTTTCCTCTGGAATGTTTCGGGCATTGGTGGCTCTGGAGGGATTTCGACACGCGCGCGTGGCGGCGCGCGAATGTGGCCCGCATGGTAACTTTTGGCACGGATGCGTGAAATGTGCGCATGCTATATCAACGGGAACGCACCAGGGGTGTGTTTTGCGAGACTGTTGATATCCCTCGGTTTTCCATTGGTTCCTGCAAGTGCGCACGGGCTAAACACTTTGCAATTGCGCTTTTGGAGGCCAACGGGTCATGCAGGGTTGCATGTGTCGAAGCACTTGCGTGATTCATGTGTTTGTATGTGCTCGATTTGCGTGCGCGCGTATAGACTTGATTGCATTGTTGTGCAAAGGTTTTTTGCAACATGATCTGTGTATGAGGTAGGCTAGTGGGCGCGCATTGTATTATTTACGCAATTGGGGGGGTGCGCGGAGCATGCAGGTGTGGCCGGGATGGTATGAGTTCGCATGGCAAATGAGCGACGAAGCAGAATCGCAGATACGGAAGTTGTATTGTTGGGTGAGCTGCCAAGTCGGGGATCGGGAGGGTGGTAGAGGGCATTCATATTTTGAAGGGATAGTTTACGCGTTGCAAAACATTGGTGCGCTCTATGTGGTGCAATCCACCTCGTAGAACTTGAAGTCGCCATCTCCACTGCTCGGGTCCTCATCTCACCCTCCCATCCACAACTTGAGCTGCACAACCCATACGGTCACGATTTCGGTGATACTTGGCACTGGCTGGCTCATTTCCTGCGGCTGCGCTAGCGCGCGCAAGCTCGCGCCAGGTCGTTTTGCACAACCGACGCGGCCGCGATGGCGTTTTCCTGTTATTGGATTGAACTCCCCAGTGCGCCTCGAAGTCCGCGTTGGCGCGCGGGCACTTCTGCGCGGGTCGGCGACTCGGGCGGGCAATGCTTCGTGATGACGCCTACGAAAGCGGCAACGATGATGATACTAGCGATGGTGGTGGCGATGGCGACGGCAAGACCGATGACGGCGCCGATGCCAGTGCCGACGAGGACGATGATGATGTCCTTGCATCGGTGATAAATGTGGTTGGTTGGTGATTGCAGGAGGCGCCGCGAAAGACGATGACGAGGACGGCGGTGATTCGGCGGCGTTGGCGAATATAATCAGCAAGGGCTCGCGCGCGCGGAAATGCTGGCGAACGTTGTGTTGAAAACCATGTCGATTTCCAGATGTGTTTGAAGAGTTGATTTTTTGTAGTGGTTTGGAACCCATGTGTGGAGCGATTTCGACACGCGCGCGTGGCGGCGCGCGCGCGCGTGTGGACCGCATGGTACTCTGTGATACGGAGTCGTACACTGCGCGCGTGCTGGACCAACGCCGATCCACCGCGTGGCGGGATGAGAGTACGCATCCTGGACATTGCTAAAAACCATATGGTGTTCTCGTCCATGCGCGCAGGCAGATATAACCTGCCACATTCGTAATGACCAGCATCAGGTTTGATTTTGAAATGCGTGCAGAACTGGTGTGGTTGGTATGACTTCGACTTGTGCGTTTGAGGGCAATTCAAGTAAGTTGCCAGGGATCATGGAAACACAAAAACAAGCATTTGAAATAAACGGGTGCGCGGCAATAGTACCACCTGGAAATATTGAGTTCGTGAGAATTGGCCTATCTTGGATGGTATGAACTCATATGGACAATGAGTAATGCGACACAAGCAGGTGTAAGTTGCATGGTCCCAGGGGCAACGATTTCCCCGCGGGGGAGGGTGGTAGACTGTATTCTTCTCTTGCAAAAAGAGAACCTGTGTGTTGCAAGCTGTGTGGTGCAAGCTACGTGGAGCAGCCTACAACGGACACAACGCTGGCGCCCACCGGGCGAAAACCGTGGTGGCAACCCGGGCGACGCCAGCAAGGGCCGCCCACGAGGCGCCCACGCTTGGCCACCAGGCAACACCTCCGACGACCCAGCCAGGGCACGGCGCGCCTGCGGGCGGCCACCGGGCGAAACCTCGGCGGACGCAGCCAGCGCACGGGGCGCCCACGAGGCGCCCACGAGGCGGCCTCCGGGGCCCACGGGCGGCCACGGGGCACAACTTTTGCGGACTCGACCAATGACGCACGCACTGTGCGCAGGAGCCCCTCAGCGCAAGCACCGTTTGGGCAACTCAGGGCCTTCTCCTTTTTCTCACGTGTGCCCGCTTGGTGCCAGCTCCGCGCGTTGGCTGCACGTTCCGGTCTCGGACCCCGTGCCCGTATTGAGCGCGGGTTCTGCGGACT